TGGCATTGTCACAGGACGTTCACTGTAAGTACCTGAAGACCCCAGAGACTTCCCAAAGACCTGCAGCGTTACTTGTTTTCTCGGTACTGGCAAGTTTAATAGATTGACAGCCCTTAAGTTATTTGAACAAATGTATTCCATTCATGATTCACTACGTGGAACAACGTTGGGATTATTGTACATCCTTCTACCAAATGCAAGTCAAGAAACATATGAAAAATTATTCAGAATAGTCGATCAACACATTCAACATAGAACAAAATATCTAAGAACTGATTCTGAAAAATCGGTCAAAAATGTCCTTGGAAATGTATTTCCTCAATGTGATATATTTCATTGTTTTTCGATTAACAGAATATACGGAGAAATATTACACAGCGATTGCTTTATTTGCACCAGTAACTAGAAATACTCGCTGTTGTTTATTGGTCACTTTGAATGCTCTTCTTCATGTGTGTTAACTGTGACAGTGGTGTTCAAATAGGTATTATTGTCATATTCTTTGACTTCACCACAAATGGAAATAGAATAAGGGTGAGTCTATTGACACCACCACCATGAGGTGTCAACAAAGGCTACTGACACCACCAGAGGTGCCAGCAATGGCTATCGACACCACTAACGTAAGAGGTGCCAGCAATGGCTATTGACACCACTATCGGAGGTGTCACGAAGAGCTATTGGCACCTCTAGGGCTTGGTGTGAAGACCGAAGCTGAACCATTCTTGAACGGATTACAGTTGCGCCGAATACTAAAGAACAGCCTTTTTACTATTAAAGATGTTCAGTTTACAGGACAGTGCCAAAAGTATACGGTTAATTGCCTAAATTCTTTCTTTTCTTTGTCAGACGACTGCAAGTGCGCACTATATATATAGCAACCACTACTACTGTGAAAGCGGTTGCTGTTGTTTCGCTATTCTATTTTTGAATTACGCTCAAAAAGATAATAACTAACGTTGAAGTAGCGACCGATCTGAAGCATCTACTCCGACTTCTACAGTTTCCACGACTGACTTCCATAGTTTATCTCGTCGCAAAATAGCAATGAAAATATGGAACCTGCAGATTGATAAGGACTCGTTTACAGAGTTTTATTTAGAAATAAAAAGTACACGTCTGCGTTTTTTGAAAGATCTGGGATCTAATTTTAGTGAGTTTGTTTACTTGCAGTCGACAATTCTCACTATAAATTTGTTATACCTCCTATTCTCCTGAGTTTTTTGACACTAATCGCTGAGAATCTTCTTAAGAAGCTTTAGTTGCTATTCTTTATTTCTTTTCGATCAAACGAACGAAATAGCGTTTGTTTTGTAATTTTACGTTCAGACAAACGTACTCTCACTATCACCTACTATATAACGACCTTTTGCGTTTATTGTTTTCTTGTTTACTTTGGGACTGATTTCTTTGTTTCAGAGTCTTTACACGTTTTCATGCGCAATTAGACATGCTTGTTTAAAAGATACAGCACTTCTTGGCATTTTTTCTATCCTCTTATCAGATAAGAAATACAGAAATACCTGACCTGTGCTAGCTTTATTTCATGCACTGGACGTTGGAGGTGTCAATAGTCCTTCGTGACACCTCTGATGATAGTGTCAATAGCCATTCCGATAAAATAGAAGGGTGTACAGTTACACCGCACAAAAAAGAGAGGGTGTACATGAGACTGCACAAAAAAAAAGCATGAATTACGGTCATGACAAGGCAGAAATTGCTCAAAACATGTTAGTTCTAACCGTTAGTTACTTGACCTCAGTTAATAAATGTCGAATTCTAATCGTTAAGAAATAAATCTTGGTTTTTAAAAGACGTAAAAAGAAAGAAGAAGAACTCAAGAGAAAAAGTGTCTTTTCTTCTAAGAGAACTTTCGTTAGAATTAATGGAAATCGAAGTAATTCATCCTCTTTTTTTTGTACAGTGTAGCTGTACACCCTTTTCTTCCGATTTATTATGAAGTCAAAGAATGTGACAACAATACCTATTTAAACACCACTGTCACAGTTAACACATATGTGGAAGAGTATTCAAAATGGTCGATAAACAACAACGAGTATTTCTACTTACTGGTGCAAATAAAGGAATCGGCTTGGAAATCGTCAAAAAACTCAACGTCAAGCAACCGGATGACATCATTTTACTTGGTAGTCGTGATCAGCAGCGTGGTAAAGCTGTTCTCAAACAACTTGGTTCACCAAAGAACGTCAAAGTACTTCTCGATACTTCATCCTTAGACAGCATTCAAAAGGCGAAACAAGAAATTCAACAGAAGTACGACGATCATCTTGGCACACTGATCAATAATGCGGGCATCTTTCAATTTAGTCTCGATTCAAAACCGTCGAAGGAAACGACGAATACAAACTTTGAAGGTGTGACGAGGATGAATGAAACATTTTTTCCATTGATTAAAGATAATGGTCGTGTAGTGAGCGTTAGTAGTGAATTAAGAGCAATTCAAATGAATGGATGTTCAAACGAATTGAAGAAAGAGTTCCGGAATCCAAATTTAACGAAAGTTCAGTTGGATGATTTATTGAAACCGTAAGTTGCACACTTTTTTTTGTGAAAGGACTCTGAGTTTATAAGCGTCTCGGAGAGGATTTTAAGTTTAGAAACGAAACTGATAATAGCATATTCCACCTTGATCATGCTCCAGGATCCCGTTCCCGGCTCGAGCAGAATCCTGGAGATGAGACAAAGAAAACAACTTTTCGGTTTGTCCGATACCTAGTCAACCATATTGGGAGGAGTACAGGTTATTTAGAGTGTGTAGTAAAAACAAGGGGGAAAGCACGGAATCCTGGAATCCCACGGAATCCAATGGAATCCAAAGGAATCGAATGGAACCCAAAGGAATCGAATGGAATCCAAAGGAATCGAATGGAATCCAATGAAATCTAGCGGAACCATATAGAATCTTGAAGTACAAACTGATCTCTTTCGATATATATTTTGGAAAATAGTAATAAAAAACACAAAGAAACGAAGAGTATAAAACGATGAAGAAGAGATCAAGAATACGATCTAAGATGCAATACTAATCACGACTAACTCCTGACTACTTTTAACTGCTCCTCCTCCG